AGAAAACCCATGTAGTCCAACAAATGAGAGTTCCTGTTAAGGGGATCAAAATAGCCGCACACCAATGAAATTGATAAGCCAATTTCCTTTGGAAGTTTCCTTTTTACATCTTCAGTGTAGAAAATTTATCTATTGGTATCTCCTAGTACAGGAAAACAGAAAAAACCTATTATTCTTTTGAACTTATGCTCATTTTTTCTTCTTATGTTCATCAGACTTAAGAACATGCACACATTCTCCAAAGGAGGAAGGGTCACTATGCCCATTTGCAGCAAAGCTTGCTAAAATACATACTAAAAAAATCATGGCTATCAATAACCGTTTTCTAAGCTAATTCTGGTTGCAGAAACTATGTCACTCCTACAGATTCTGTTGCAAGATGACATTAAGCCTATTTCTGATTGAAGCTGTTGGATGCTCCTAGGAAATCCCTACTTTCAAGCTGTATTTGAGAGGAATTACAATTTCTATACAACTAGCACGTATCAGCATTCCCTCTCTCATAACATGTATGAAGACAGAAGAGAGGACAACACTGTAGACATAAGCCATGATTTAAAGTGCACCATAAAACAGAACATAAAATCCAGGTTCCCATAGAACAGGACAAGGCTCCTTTAGATCGCCATTCATTTAGCATTAAGTCATCATCAGATTTTTTTTCCTTTTTTTGGAATTTTTAGTTTGCAAGCAAAACTAAGATAACACAAAAGCAATCTGGCATTACAGCTTGTGACCCAACAGGCAAAAACCAGAGCCACACACATGCCAGTTAAACAATTACTGTGTACCTATTCCAGTTTTGACTTTCTGCCTAGGATCATGCAAAAGAGCTCAAACATTTAGCAAACCCCTGGGATTTTTTTCTCCTAGTCTGCACACCTGCCAGTAACCTACCCAAATGATTCTAACTTTTAGCCTTCCTGAAAAAAAAATCCACAGTTTCCATCCAGACTTTCTACCAAAGGGCTTTTGGTTTCTTTTTCTGTTTGTTTTGCTGCAGCAATTGCCCATTTCTGAAAATACAATACAAAAATATAAAAGTCTAACTATGCTTCAGGTCCCCTTAGGAAAATATAGAGAAGTAAGTTAAACAGATACGCTGGGACTTGATTTTGGGAAGAGATGCCATCTTTTCTAGGAAGGAAAGGAACACTTTTGGACCTCTGATGCTGCAAGGATTAGTTTGCAAACAATTTTGCTTGATCCACAGTCACTTTTGGCCTCACACACGCTAAAATACACAAATTCCACAAATACTCCTGCTAATCAAGAGCCTGCAAACTATGGAAAGCAAAGAAAATCTTTCTCTATTTTAAAAAAGATTTTTGTGGACATAACACAAATTCTTTCATACAATAACTTCTGAGATTAAGGGACTGAAAAGAAATATATAAAAGAAAGCCAGAAGGATTTTCTGCATCCCTCAGAAAAACTGGGTGGGTTGTCTTAGACTGAGTGGCTCTGAAAGTGTATGAGGACTGAATGCCCTGGCACTAGAGCTTATCTCACAAAATGTCCAGCTGTTATTTACCCACAGTTTTATTTCATCTTAAAGCCAAGATGTAGAAAAATAAGATAGAATATCAAGGCCTTAGGGTAGGATGAAACCTTAGTCTGAGATAAGAGAATCAGTCTCAGAAGAACAAAACCTCCAAACATCAATATAATTTGGTCTGGGGCTCCTGCAAGTTTTGGTTGGGGGATGTGGGAGAAATCCTCACCAAAGCTTTGAAACAGATTCATTTCAAGTTTGTGCAGTACCTCTCATCAATTTCATGAGACAATGAAACATCACTGTTTTATAAAAAGTCCCCTTAGAACAATCCACTGTGATCCTCAATCTTCCTCAAAAATAATAAACAAGTTTTTGTGTTGATGCAGCATTGTGGAAACAAACACAATTAGACCTCATTCTAAAATGAGCAGCATACTAATTGGAAGTGATGAATCAATTATTCCCCAGGAATTCAGGGCTATCAGAAGTCTGAGATCAGACATGGTAGTCTATACAGTTTTCAGAAAATCCTGATAAAAATAAGCACAGAAAAGCCACATTGAGCTTCTACTGTACACTGAAACAGATTCCTCCCCTTCCCCACCTCATTTCTTTATGTCAAGCTGTTTTACATCACAATTTGAAGTGTTCTTATTTCTCCTTCACTGGAATTTTATTAATTCCTGTGGGCTGGATTAAAAGCATGCACAGAATAGCCCTTCACAGGTTAGAGTCAACATGGAGCCTTTCTGGGGGCGCCATAATGTGAAAGTTTGTCAATTCTTGGGCTGTAAATCCCAGACCACTGAAGCGACACACGGTGCTCCCAAAGCCATCTGTGGTGTGTGCTCTCAGTGAATCCCCCAGCAGCAGAGCAACCCCATGGCTGGGCAGAAGCAGTGTCCCCTCTGTCCTGGTGCCTGGCAGCAGAGCAATCCCAAGGCTCCAGCAGGGCTCCCCTCTGTCCTGCTCTGTGGCTTTCCCTGCCTGCTGATGCTCCATGAGAGAAAACCTGAGCTGAAGGTTATCTCATCATATAGTAGAGGTGGCCTTTGAGTCCTAATAAAATATCTGTATTGTACTGGAATATCTGTATATAGGCCTTGCCCCAGTAAGTCCCGGTTGTTCTTGATGGGCTGCAGCTGCCATGTCCTTCATTGGCTGCAGCTGTGGCTAGTGAGGATAACTGGGATAAAAGAGGGTGAGCTGGCCAGTTAGGGAGAGCCTTGAAGGAGCTCTGGCTAAGAAGGAACAACATGCAGAAGAAGGAGCCTGTGCTGTGAAGGTCTGCAGCCATAAGAAAACACTGAAGAGGTATGGGACTCTAGAAATATAATTACAGCATCATCACACATGTTCTGTACAGCATCACTGGCACTGCCTCATTCCCAACCCAGGCATGCCTAGCCAGACCTCTGCTACCCACAGAACAATCCACTGCTTCTTGCAAAAACACAAGTGCCAGCTCTGCAATCCTTGCAGCAGCACGAGCCAGCTTAGAATTTCTAGGATTAATTCCTTTTTCCACATCCTGTTGTGCAACTCAGTAGCACAGATTTTTCATACAGACTTGGTGATGAATCTCACCCTCAACCAGAAAGGAACATTTTAAGAACCAAACCTGGCCTGGGTTTGGGCTGTTTTTCCTCCTCAGTGTTGTCACTAGATAAGGTTTGAACAGGCAATAATAAATGATTTGTTGAAGTGTGATTTAATTAGAACAGCACAGATGTTTTCCTTCATTTGTCCTATTTTCCAGTAATGTGCATTTCTCCTCTTCCACTGCAGATTAAAATACTTCATGGCTGTAATATGACCTGCACCTCCCTGTACCTGATGTTTCTCACCAACTCCCCTTTTAAGCAGCCAAAAACAGGACAGCTTTGCTGTCAGAAATTGCTTCATGAAGGCCAGAAATTGTTCTTTCTCAATTGTACACTTCACACTCCCTGGAATAAAGGTGCAGCTTTCTTAGCAACTGATTATCCCAGTTGGCTTTGCAATTCTGTGTCCATAAAGTATTAAACACAGGCCTGATCCAGCTTGCCAAACCCAAAAGCAATACTTTTTCAAACTCAGAAGAATTGTATCTGGTGCTTCTATCAGCTGTCACACTGCCAAGTAACAACATCAGAGCACCTTCTATTTTTCCACTTTATTAAAGACAAGTGAGAGGCAGCTTCTTCTTGCAACCACAGATAACTGTGATCTTCACTATTTCAATTAAAACCTATCAGAGAGTCCTTTTTCTCCATGGGGATGAAAGATGATATAAAGTGTTAGCCAGAATAATTAAAACTCTGGATGTCATTCCCCAAGAGCTCCTGTGCTTCTCTCTGAGGTTACAGAGCTGGATCCATCACATGTAGGTAGGTTTGTCCTTGCTGTTTCTTTCAGGTCTTATCTCTGTGCACTCACTTATCAACTAAGGCAGCAAAGAGAGTTTTAGTTTGGGTTGGTTGGGTTTTTTAATGGTTGTGTTTGGGGGTTTTTTGGTGTGGTTTGTTTTTGGGGTTTTTTTCTCTTGATGATACCAAACCCCTCAAGTTCTGAGGCTCTCAAGGTTTTGATAGGGGGTTGAATCAAACTTTGCTCTTTCTTTAGGTGTTAATCAGTAGCTATGGCTGGATGGCTATGATTAGGCAATTGCATTGTGAGCATCATATGTTTGGCTAATCTGCTGTTTTAAGAAAAAAAGAAGAGAATCCCCAAATGAATGGGCTGTCTGGATGAGAGGCACCAGGAGTGAAGTCAGAACTGAGCAGTACCTGGGGAAGGGTGGTTCTGGCAGTAGGAGATTGTGGCAACTCATTGACCACTACTCAAAATTGGCCCCACACGCAAATGGAGGAAGAAGTGTGCCTGCAGACTGATGAGCAGGAGAAGCAAGAGATAGAACTAGTAAATTGGGGAGTAATCTGAGTAATCTGTAACCAAGGAATGTTGATGCCTTTGTTTATTAAGTTGTATAAAGAGTGTGAAGTTTGGATGATTTTGGAATTAACCTTCCATGGGTCACCACCCAGCTCCCCACTTTGCACAAACGAGAACAAAAAACAGGAAGACCTGGCCTCAGCATGTGACTTGGCGCTGGCACCAGGTAATGAACCCATATTGATGCCAAGTTTGAACCATCTTCTTCACCTAGGCAATCCCAGCTCTGGGCCAGCCTGCAGTCCTGTCAATTTCTGCAGTCCTGTCAATTTCTGGCCACAGGGCAGTCCCAGCTCCGTCACAACAGCAGCAGCTCCAGCCCCGCGGCCCACAAGGACATTTCCAGTGGGACGCCGGAAGCATTTGTCCCGCACCCGGGAACAAAATTTTGCCTCATTTTCCCCCTCAGTTAGAGTGTAGGGGTTACCCAAAGCCAGGGAAGCCCCGGGCGGGAGCGCTCCGCCCAGGCCAACCCACCCCGGGCCGAGTCCCCGGGACGGCCCCTGACCTTCCCAACATGGCGGCAGCGCCCGCCCTCAGCAGCACTGTCGCGATAGCGCCGCGCTTCCGCCGCGCTTTACGGTAAGGCCGCCCGGCGGGGAGGGAGGCGGTGGTGGGCCGCTCCCGCCATGGACCGCAGGAAGAAACCGCTGGACGTGGCCGCGTCCTCGGTGAGTGACTGAGCGGGGAGAGGCAAAACGAACCCCTCCGCCCGCCCAGGAGGCTTGTAGGGCTGTGAGCTGTGCTCAGCCGCGGGGCTCCCGCGGGCGGGGTGGGCCTGGCCGGCGCAGGCCCTGAGGCTCCACCGGGGATCCGCTGGCGCCGCCGCTTGCGGGAAGAGCGGCGCAGGGAAAGGGCCGGTGCTGTGTGTGCTCCCCTAACCCCGCTGCCGTGGGCAGTCACTGCGGCGCATGCTGCAGTAAAGGGCTGTGTAAGGCCGTGTGCATGTTCGGTCTGTGACAGTGTCGGGGCTGGGAGTTTGTCCCCTCACCTTCCTCACCAGCCACACGCCCTGCGCTCCGAACCCGAGTCTGCCCGGCATGGGTTTGCTCGCATTCCCGGTGCAATTAAATTACATTAGCCCATAACAGGGAAAATAATTTTTCCTAAGGAGCAGAAGATCTATGCTGTGGAAGATTAACTTCCCACCCTTAGGGATGGCGAGGTGCTGACCCTCGCTGTTCTCCAGGACGCTCACGAGAGTTCCCAAACACTTCAGATGAAGAGCTGTGTAAATAGTCAATGTATGCTAATAACTGTTAATATTTCACAGTTAACTGTGAAATATTTTACATTGAATTTTTGGATGATCCCCTCTAAGCAGAAGGGAGAACGAGTGATTTTTAAGGCACTGCACTTCGTTGTCCCAGCGACTTGAAAAGCAAATGCTTGGGACAAATATTGATACCAAAGTTTTGCACTTTCCTGGTTTAATGTGCAGCTCTGAATTTTTACATCTGTAGGACTTGCAGGAAAAAGTAGGAAAATACCCTCTTACAAACTAGCTTTGTAAAGATAACACCCCTGCTGATGAGTTCCTTAATAAAAGCTGAGATGGACCTTGGTCACAAATGGCAGTGCTACCCATATGGTTATTTAAAAAGAAGGAGAAAAAAAATCCAAAACTATTAAACAGTGCATAAAGCAGTGGGGAAAATATATGTTTTACTATAGCAAACTTTTATCAGTTATTTTCAGAGACAGGATTTTATTTATTATCTAATGGTTAAAAGTTCCCTTTTCATATTCAGTAGTGTTTTTCATTGCTCCTTCTCCATTTGTTTGCCATTGGGAGGTTGGTAAAATCTAGACAGAGCTATATCTCTTATTCTCATTATGTAGCAAAGGATCAAGGATATCTTTGGAGGTTGTTTTAATCCCTAATCATAATTTGCATTCTGTGGTTCTTTATTTTGTTTGCTGTAAGAGGTGATCTTGGTGATCAGATCGGTGCTTCCACATAAAAATGCAATCAAATGCTCCTATAAGTGTAACTAGCAGGTTGTTTTCCTAGAGTTACAGATATTTATTGCAGTAACTGATGTCTGTGATCTGTTATTCATGTGTTGTTTTGCTGCTGGTGTAGCTGGTGGATCTCAAAGCTGAACTCTTCCGAAAGCAAGAGGAGTTCAAGAAAGAAAAGCTGTTGAAAGATGCTGGTGTCTTTGCAAAGCCCAGAACCTCTAATAAGGTAAAAATAATCTTCGTTGTTGTTTTTGCCATTCTTTCTCCTGAAAGTAAGGAAGTTAATATTCAAATCTAAATAATAGTAAATACTCGGCTGTGTTTCTAGTCAAATATAAAATGTACATGATGAGAACATTCTTTAAAGTTCATGTCTAGGTGAAATTCCTGTGCAGAAAGCTTAGTCTTGTGCCCATCTAAATCCCCACTTAATCTTCATTCCCCAATGATCTACACCCTTTAATTATAGGAAAAGATGTTTCTTTTTTTAGTGGAGGATGTTGTATGATGCTGCAGGATGGAGGATGAGAGATTCTTCTAGACTCACTGAATTTCCTTGATAAATGCTCTGCTATCTGTTTGTGGTGCACAATAATGAATACAATGTACACAATTATCTCTCTTGTTTTGCTCAATACTGCACTTTGGCTTTTGTTCATTCTGTAGCTTTCTAGAAGGAGAATGTGCTGTTCCTGCCATATTTGAAGCACGTGCAGCATTTAGAGTGTTATGCTGCAAACAGGCCACCTGAATGTATTTTCTATCTAAAATGGAGGCAATGGAGAATAGAAACATTTTTTAGCTTTGTTAGTATGTATTTAATCAGCAAGATTGCATGATTGGGTTTTTTTAACCTTAACATCTTTGCCAGAATAGATTTTGTCTGATTTCTGAGTGCCTTTAGGATTTTTAAGGCCATCTCAGCCTGCCCTTAACTATGATACCATCCTGCAGCCTGTACAGCACAGGAATGATCTCAAATCAAACACGTATAAGTTGTTATTTACAAAGCCTTCCATGACTCAGGTGCATCATTTGCATCATAGAGTTGAAATATTTTTTTAGTTGTTACCATTTCAATATTTTCATCTATTTATTTGTTGTTACAAAATTGTCCTCTGCAGAAGCCCAGTATCTGGACCAAGCAGAACACGGGAGTTGGAAATCGAGCTGCGAAAGATGTTGAGCAGAAGGCAGAAGAGCAGGATATATTGGATAAATCAAGGTAGCTTTTAGGCTCTGTAAGAAAGGAATGCTTTGCAGAATTTGTTTTTTGGTATTTAGAAAAGCACAGAAAGAAGTTTTTTAGACCAGCAGTTCTCATTAGACCAGGCAGTAATTCCAGTAGCATCCATACTTTTTACCAGTAGTGTACAAACTGCATCCCAGCAGTCTCATGCTCCCATGACCTCACAGCTGTCTAAATTATCACAGCTGTCAGGGTACTGATTTTTTTTTTTAATCATCTTTAGAATTACCAGCCAGTGCAGTGCAGTGTTAGAATTCTGTAGCAAAGTGTTTCTTGGGCTTGACAGAAAATAGCTTACATTTTCAAGATTTACCTCATTTTCTAAATGGGTTGGTTGAACAAAAAGATATATGTGGAAAATGCCATTTATAAATAATTTGCTGTGGTTCTGTAAGCAATTCCTTGCTCTTTGAAATTCCAAAAATTAGCTAAGGTTTTCTCTTCAGTTTCTAAGATTAGGTGTAACTTTGTGTTATCTCTTTTTTTTTTCCTGTAAAACTGTCTCTCAGTATCTGCAAATAATGGTTTCATTTCCAGTATTTATCTTAGATAAAGGTGGAATTCTTGTAACAGCATGTTTCTGCCTACTTGAAAAATTACATTTGAGAATAAATTTGTAACTTCACTGAAATTATTTTCAGTATAAATTCTGGAACTGGAAAATATTGTATCTTTAGAAATGCTAGTGAAGGTTCAAAACAAAAGCCAGGCATAAGTCAGCTTCTAATAAACACGTCAGGCAGTCCCAGGATTTTCCTATTCCATTTATCTAAACCTAAATAGGTCCCTTTAAAATGTGCTTGGAATTGGTGGGATTGCAAAGTTCATTTTTATTTCTTTTTCAGGAAGAAGCTTGAAGAGAAAGCAAAGCTGTATGAGAAAATGACAAAAGGAGACTTCCCAGGTGAGCCATACTATTGCAAAATAAGCATTTATATATGTGTAAATTCTTGGAATTATTATAGAAACTTATTGACATGGTTTATTCCACTTTGAAAAGGAAAAAATATACATTTACTGGAGAAAATAAAATTACTTTTGAAGGGCAGCCTGACCAGGTAAAGCACTGGAGGCTTGTTTCACTCATTCATTAAGTGGGTGAACTGTGTTCTGGTTTTTCAATACAGTATCTTAGAAAAACAAAAAAAAAAGTTCTCCATTGTGCAATCTTTGGATTGCATTGCTGATGCTCAGTCCTGCATTCTAATTGTTGGGCCTTTTTGAGGAGAAGAGCATCAGGAGAGGAGTCTGGCTGCTCCATATCTGAATGCCAGTCATGCAGCTAATAGGGATAGAGAATGCTAATCTGTTCCTTTCTTCTTTCACACATTCAGTCCCTTTCAAAAAGTAATTATTAAAATAGAATACAAATCTCCTTGCAATTAATCTGTTCTCTTTATCAATGTCTATCTTCATCCACAAGACCCCACCACTTTCCTCTACTTTCCTAAAAAGTACCCTCATGAATGCTTGGCTCCTGCCAACATCCAAATGTTAAGCATCAAAAAAGTATTTGAGCCTTGACAAATCCTTTGCTTATGAAACAGTTAACAAGCAGAGAATGTTTTGCTGCAGAGAATGCAGCCTTTTCTGTGCTGCACACAATGCCCTGAAACTTCGATTCAGAAATAGACGTTATCACTGTGGAGCTACTTGATAGCTCTGGGTTTGTTTGGCACTGAATGAGATTTTTAAGTGCTCCCCAATACTGTAGTCAAGGGCATTGCTGGCAGCTGAAAAGCTGATTGTAGCTATTTGGTATTGATTTTGTGCTCAGTTCTGTTCTTTTCATGGCTGTTCGCTAAGAATTGATTTTCTGCCTTAGATGAAGAAACTGAGGATTTGTACCTGGTGGATTTCACTCAGAAGATCATAGACAAACAGCACGAAGTACAGGAGCTGCAGCAGAGTGAAGCTGCTGGGAAGACTTCAGAAAGAGACACAGATGAGGAGGAAACTCAGCCTGAAGCAGACATTCCACCACCAGAGGACCCGGATGAGGAATGGTTGGTGCTACTGATTAGGCTCATCTGCCCTGGCCTTTCTTATTCTTGAGAATTTCTTGAGAAAATGCTTTTCTTTTTTAAAATGTCTGAAGTGACACCTTTGTTTTTCATTTTTGTTTCATACTACACATTGGCAAGGTGTTAACATTCTTTCATTTCTCCTATAGACAGTCCTCCATGACACTTTAATTTCCACCCACATAGGTAACACTGCATTAAAATTTACATCTAGGATCTTGAGAAATTGCAATGAAGGCAATGTACTATAGGAGGGACAACATCATCTCCTCTGTTATTTTCTTGCATAGTTTATCCAAGTAGTCATCACAGTATTTGGTACCATTTTATTCTTTGATGTGCTGAATTGAAATGTATTTTAGCAAAACTTGAGGATTTTATGGTATTCATCTTCCTGTCTTTAATTGTGAGTGACTTAAAAATGAGCAGTCATTTCTCTCTTAAAGGAGAGAAACTCTAGTTGGAATAAGAACACGATTTTCAGCATTTCTTCCACTTTGCTGTAGCACAGCAAATAGTCTCTGACAGTTTTCTGTCTCATTCCAAGTAACCACTATTTTTTCATCTGAGACATTAGGAATAATTATGAAACTAGTCCTGACTAAACATTTTCATTTCCCATTTGTTTAAAATGCTTGTGGAACAAGAGATTTTTACTTGTGGTAATCAGTTTAAACCAGCAGTAACCAATACAAAACAGCACTCCCATTCTTCAAATACTAAAGTGTAGATACTTTAGAAACTAAGTAAAGGATTTACTAAAAGCACAGATCTTTAAAAGTTTGGGGTTTGGAAGCTAGATTGCCAGTCATACTTTTTCAGCTGTAATATTCTTTAGAATGAGATAATTGAGGCAGCTTGATGCTCAAGAGCTTTCCACATTACAGGACAGTAAGTGTAGCTCTTAACAGCTTTTTCAACAACTGTAAATCAGATGTTCAGTACTATGAAGAGTTGAATAAGAAGCACAATAGCTTCAGAGGAACATTTTGCTTGTGTTTTAGTCAGCCTTTGTTATGCCAATTGAATGCACACTATCAGTCTGTTCTGAATGGCCTTTAGACCAATAATTGAAATGTATTGTAGCAATTTCATATCCACAAGAAGCCAATGCTGCATCATTATCTTCACCATGGGAAGCAAACAGTAGGCTGAGTTCTATTTTGTTGTGAAAACTACGTGACATGGTTACTTCTGAACATTTTGTACACCATTTCATTGCCCAAGTGAAGAGGGGTCTCAAAGGGAGATGGAATAAATGTCTGGTAGAACTGTCATGTGCCCCATTCAGAACTGTCCTCTTAATCTGGGGGTGTGTTAAGTGAAAAGCAGGAGCAGCTGTCACACACATTGGGAGGTGACAGCTGCTCTTTGGAGATCTCCTTTGGAATACTCCTTGGAAAGGGTTAATGCTTCTGTCTTCTGGGTAAGATTTCTGTTAATCTGCAAATAGAACTTTTGCATCACTTTTCTTTTTCTTTCATTATAGGGTTGATTATGTTGATTTCTTGGGCCGATCTAGACGCTGCATGAAGAAGGATTTACCAAGTCTACTTAAAATGGATCAGGAGCTTCAAGGGAAAAGGTGTGGTTTCTCTAATGGAGCTCCATGTTCCTCTCAGTATTTAACATTTTTTTTAATGAGAAGGAAGAGGGGCTTTGCTTTGTCACCTCATTCTCAATCCAGAATTGATGTTACTGGATTCTCTAGATTTGCATAATTTGTAAAGAAAGGTTTTAAGCAATCTCAGATATTTGTTGCATCTTTTAAAAACTGGGGTCCTTGTATTTCCTTATACCTTCCATAAAATGCCAGGAAAGTGATTCCAGTTCTGTTTAACATGGGAATTGATGATAGTCTTTTAGCAATTCCAAATTCTTCATGATGTTCAAAGTGAATTTGTTAGACCTCCATTTGTTTAGTTTTGTTCTTCTGTTGAACAGCTGTTTAACAACTCTTTTGTTAAAATTACTTCTGTACTAATATTTGGGTATTGATATTTGAACATTAATATTTTGAGTCAATCTTTTGGGTAAAGCATTGTTTTGTTACTTTAAATATCTTTCATTTTCTTACATTAAATCTGAAAAGGTCCTATATGTGAGTGCTAGAATTCCCACAGATGGCAATAACTGATTATTTCTTCTCCCATTTTGTGATTTGATAATTCTTTCATAAATCTTCTGAGAAATAATATTATTTTGTCTTTTAATAACATGCTCTACTTGTTTTAGAGGTAGCTTTGTATTTCTATCTTGACCACATGCCATAGTCATCAGCATTGTGTCACTAAGTAGTGTCTACAGTGATCTGTGTTTTGTGGAAACTGCAGTAGTGGATCAGACTAAATCATACTTGCACTGTTTGGTATTGACAAAATGGTAAATTCTGCTCTGTAATCCTTAATTTGTTTTAATTAGACAAGAGCCTGATGGGAATACTCTGTTATCTGAAGACATGAGAAGAGAACTTCAGAGGCAGCAGTGGGAAAAGGAAGAGGAAGAAGCCCTCAGAAAACCCATGGGACCCATACATTATGAGGACATTCGAGACAATGGTACAGTGCCATACTTTATATCTCTTACCTTTGTATCACCAAAGAAATCAGTTGTAGAGGGAGCAAGGGAATGCCTTTGTGCCAAAGTGTAGGTGTGTGTTAAGCCACATGTGTAATAACTGTTGGAAGTTACCAGTACATAAGTCTAGATTTATTTTTTCTTCAAATTGTATTTTTCTCAAATGTTTCTCTACCTCCTCCTGTGTTCTCCTTCAAGAAGCTTCACTTTATGTATTATCTAAAGCAATCTAAAACCAATCCAGTGTTGGTAATAATTCCACACCTGAAAGCAGGGTGCCTGCAGGCTGTAATTACTGCCAGCTATAAACTGAATTTAACTGAAATCTGTTGTTTTTCTCCTTCTCAGAGGCCAGGCAGCTCGGTGTTGGTTACTTTGCCTTTTCTCGGGACCAAGAGCTCAGGCATAAACAACGGGCAACCCTGGATATGCTGAGGGAGCAGGTATGAAAGTGAAGAGCAGCCTGGGCTGCCAGGGCAGGGTGGTTTCAGTGGTTACTGTCTTTGATTTGTTGTGTAAGTGATTAGGTGATGCCTGCAACTGACTCCAGAGAAATTTGGCTTCTTTTTTCCTGTTGAAACCTGATGCTTGCTTAGGATTGCTTTTAGTTGTTTTGTGAAGGAAGATATGTACTTGTTTATAATAATGAAGGAAGATTAATTCATGATTTTTTTTGCTGTTAAGACACTTGATCAGAGAAATAAACGTGAGCAGCTGAAGGAGAAGAGGAAAGCAGCTCTAGATGCAAGGCTGTCCAAACTTCGAGCACGGAAGATTAAAAAGTTAAGGGAAGCTGGATTAGAGGAAGAGGCAGAAAAACTGGAGAATGGAGGTATGATCTGTTGCCTTTTTAGCTTAAATACTTGCTATTTCACCTTGTTATTGATCTGTGGACAGATTCTAATTTATATTCATTTAGACAGTCAGTGTATTGGTATTGTGTATTCTATATATACAATTAACATAACTGTTAGGATGATGAGAGCTGATGTAATTGTGTGTAGATATAAAATCATGCCAGAAATAGCTTAATAATGCAGGTAGAAATACAGTATGTAGATTGTAGCCTTTTTCTGATTCACACCTGACAGCAGGAATTACATGGGTTAATTATGCAGGTTGAGGCTAGAGCTGCTGACATTGTACTGCCTTTCTCTTCTATGAAGATGAGGTAGAATAAGTAGTAACAAGGCATTTTGATACCATTCAATAATACACTGTGACAGTTTCAGTGCAGTGTGTGAGTTGGAGATACAGCTGACTCTAGGATTTAGGATAATGAATTTGAATTCTAATCCTGTGTCTGTGCTGTCTCTCTTACAACACTGATAGTCAACTTGTACTGTCTGTCTCCCACTGGAAAATGTAGCTGATATTTTACTGTCTCAGAATTCCTTGCAAGTGATTAACTGTGAGGTGTTCTGGAAATGAAGAACAGCATCATGCCACTGCTTACTGTTATGGTTGTTCAGAAGAATAAGAATGCAAATTGTTTTCTCCAGTCAATGAAATAGAGATACTGTTCTTATTGGAAATATGTGGAAATAAATGTTCTTATTTTTACCTGTGAGAGTCATACAGATTTTATTCTGTAACTGACAATCTCTGCTGCCTCTTCCTGTGACACAGAGGTGAAAGGTGCTGCTGAGGAACCAGAACCTCCAAGAGCTACTGCAGCAAGTAGGAAGGTGGAGGTCATCATCCAGGAGAGGAGAGACACAAAGCCTGGAGTGCCTTATGTCCGAGAGTGGGATAAAGGCAAAGGTAAGGGAATGTGGATTCAGGAGCATCGTTGGGAAGGAGCACTGCCACTTCCATTTCTGTTTTGTGACCAAAGTACGGTGAGACTGAGAAGCAATGAAACCCTTTCTGCCTTGTACTGATGACTCTCCAGTGTCCAGGGCACTGACAAGGATGCCTTAGTGCCAGCAGCTGCTGTAATGTCCCCAAAAGCTTTCTTCTATATGAGTTACTGCATTTCTGAATGATCTTGACAGGTTGACAGAATGACAAATTCTATAGTTCAGAAGGTGTACCGTGTGATCTTTTCTTGATATATTCCTGTGGTTTCTGCTGCCTGATAGGATGTATCACACAATATCACACAGCACAATACTAAAACATGATTCAAGCAGAGACCACTTCAGTGCCTGTGTCCCATTTTGAAGCATCTTCCTTGCCACAAATGATGGCTGTCTTGTAGGTCCTTCCCAAACCTATTAACTCATTTTGCACTATTAATCTAAGCTCATGCACATTTTTCTAATCTGATGCATGACTTCTAAGTAAAAGCAAACAAGGAATAGACAAAGCACATAAATGCCCACCTTCTTTAGTACTTATAACAGCACTATTGCTCTTCTATGCAATACTGGTATTTTCCAGATTCTTCTTACTTTTCAATCTTTACGTTCCATTAATGAACATCACTGTGAGGGGAAACTTCATGATTCCATTAAACCCTCAAACTTTCAGATCCTATCTCATAAATCTTTATCCTCTCTGACATTATTTTTTCCTTCTTCTGGTGATGCCTGGTGTCTCACCAACACCCAGGCAGCACTGCAGCAAATACTGCACTCAGAAAGCAAAGGACAGCTTACTTTAAAATGCAAATTGAACTAACTGGTTCACTGAAGGAATCTCCACTAGATTCTTGTATTTCCATACAGTATGAAGTGGGAAAGGAACTTCACGTGGCTTTACACAGTTGCATCTTCTTTCTTTGCCAATTTGTTTTCCCTCCTCTCTGACCTTCAGACCTTGCTAAATCTGCCATTTTCCTGTTTCTAACAGAACTAATGTTTGGACAATGGGAAAAGAAACAGGAAGAGCTTAGAGATGAGCGAGACCCAGAATTTGCACCACCTTCTGATTACTTTTTGGGACAAAAGAAAGATGATTATCTCCGAGGTCGGAATCTGAACAGTTCTGAAACCTCCTCTGAAAAACTGGAAACAGAGAGAGCACAAAACCCACAGAGGCCATCGGTGCCAGGGGGCGGTGGCAGCAGCACTGGAGATGTGCCACTGTCACCACAGCCTTCCAACAGCAGCGTTCCAGTTCAGCCAGGCTCAGCAGAGCCCAGTGGCCGTGACACTCAGGGCGTGTCATCAGCAGAGGATGACAGCAGCGATGACGAGGACGTGCCACCACCAGCACAGGCTTACGGCTTCGGTGCCCGAGGTGTGCCCCCCCCGCTGCGGGGTTACGGCTACAGCGCCCGGGCTGTGCCCCCGCCCATGCCAGCCTACGGCTATGGCACTGCCCAGGTGCCCTTCCCAGTGCAGGCCTACGGCTATGGGGCACCAGCAATGGTGCCACCGATGCATGGGTACGGCTATGGCACTCCTGAGGTGCCCTTTGCAATGCAGGCCTATGGCTACGGCACCCAGGATGTGCCCCCAGGAATGCCCACCTGCGGATGCAGCGCCCAGGATGTGCCCCCAGGAATGCACACCTGCGGATGCAGCTCTCAGGATGTGCCACCAGGAACACAGGTCTGTGACCTCAGCAGCCAGGATGTGCCACCAGGAATACACACTTGTGGATGCAGCAGCCAGGATGTGCCACCAGGAACACACACCTGTGACTGCAGCAGCCAAGAGATGCCACCAGGAGCAGACACCTGTGACAGCAGCACGCAGGATGTGCCACCAGGAACAGAGGACAGTGGCTGCAGCACTCAGGATATGGCACCTCCAGCTCAGACTGACAGCAGTGACACTCCAAATCAGGAACCACTTTACCAAAGTTTAGATGATATGCTCTCTTATTACAGACAAGTGACTTGAGCTGAGCAAAAAGATAAGCAAGAACAATGATCTAAAGAACTGGAATATAATTAATTCTGCTCAGCAGAATATTATTTTCCCACATATGGGAAAAATAAGTTTCTGTAAGTACATCAGAATAAATTTCCTGGACACCTAAGCTGTTTCACATCACAGCTGTATTTTGCCCTGTTGTTTTTTTTTATTCTCCCCTCTTTACTAAAATTCAACTCTTTGACACTTGGACCTGAACTTAAGGGTATATTAATTACTTGTTAGCAAGAGATAAACTCATTTAGTTGGTTGCTCCCAGCTGGCTTCTGGTTTGGAGGTACTACAAGTTCAGTGACATCCATAGAAATGGATGGAAGCATGGAAATGGTAGGTCCTCTGCTGTCAAACACAGAATGATTTTGTTCCTCACTTAATCTCCTCCCTTTTAGGAAGTGCATATTATCTAGAACAATGGTGGTTCACATGGCCTCTGCATTCCTGAGGTCCATATGTAGCTCATAATTCTATGCAGCATTTAGAGTGGAGACATTGCAGAAGCCAGTAAGTAATGATGGGTAGGCTGAAAATAAACAAAACACTGAAGCAGAACCTTTGACACCTGAAATTCTTACTGGTTTAGAAGATCCTCTCATAATTCTCCAAGTGTGTTTTTCTTGCATAAGGAGTTACATATATGGCTTTATTTAATACTTTTTTTCCAAAAACTGTGATACTGGAGTCATAAAAGCAGACCAATCTCTACCAAACTAACTTTTATTTCAGAATCTTAGTAAATGAGAATACTTACTTGCCATGTAGATGATTTCTATTTCTGAAGGTAATTTAGATAACTCCACTTGTATTTTAAAACCCTGATACAAGGATAAGACCTAGCAAAATAGGTTAGAATGGGCAATTGCATAGATTGTTAAATGGCAGAGATAAAATAATGAACATTTAAATGCAACAGTGAACTGGCCAAAGAGACAAAACTGATTTGCTCCTCTTGTGTGCTTCAGTCAGATCTCAGGCTGCTCTGCAAGCCTGGTGAACAGCAAGATGTTCAGTGTGACTGAAGAATATGCAGAACATATTCTGTCCTCAAATTCTGCTTTAGCCTCAGCTCCTACATCACTGCCTTTTGCACTGGAATTTGCAGAGCACGAACAGTACATTACAATTACATGTTAATTTAACCTCAGAATACTTTTCTGAAGTAATACAATACCACTATCCCAATTTTGAAGAAAATGAGGATGGAAAATGTCTTAGAGAAGGTCACACCCAGTTTTCCAGGCTGGCTGATTTACACTAAGGAAGTTTCCTTTTCTAAGACCTCACAGAATCAGTGTCTGGAAGCCATTCAGAGCAGGGTATAATTTCCTTGGAGCTCCACTAACTCTAAAGAGTGGGCAAAGTCTTTTCAAACACTAGAGCTTGACTTGAATTGATTATGGCAATTGTATCCCTCAATAGATTTTCCTACAAAGAATATTTGTGTTTATTTGCTGCTATTTTAATTTTAATCCATTTCCAGCTGCCTTTTGGACTTTGTTTTTTCTGTGCCCTTCAGACTGTGATAATTTTATGTGTATCTATGGTTTAGCAGTTATGTTGTCTTTGCATTAGTTTAACATTGAGCTGGAGCTGCAGTAAGGAATGAAATGCCATTTATTACATAGTGTTATGTAAAAAGATACAATCAAAGTGTTCCTTTGTTTAGCTTCATTTCCACAGCCTAATATTAAGCAGGAGGGCTCTTGGCCAGGAGGGCGGTTCAGAGCCTACATTAAAGTTAAGCCTGTTGAGAACAGCTCTCACTGCAGTGATCTGTCACTTTGCCATTTGGTCTCCTTCCCTCTTCTCTTGCTTTTTTGCTGAAATGCTTTTTGCATATTGTCTCATGCTGTGGAGCACACATTTCTGTTCACTGTCCTCCCCTCAGACCACCTCAAGTTAGCTTGGCTGGGATCAGCAACCTCATTCTTTTCATTCAGTAATTCCTGGGGCAAACAATTCCTTATTGATTCACTGCCAAAGTTTTATTTCCCCCATGTTTTGGAGCGTGTTGTCTCCCTGTCCCTCTTCCTCCTCGTTTAAACCACCCCCCAGGTTGCACACCAGGGGGAATGGGGCTGAGGGGGGCAGTGTGGGCAGGGATCTGCCAGCACCAGTGTGTGACTGATGAAAGTGAAGCAAAGCCAGCTTGTGCTCTCACTGAGTGTGCACCACTGTGAGCACACTCTGCCTCTGGTTGTGTTTCAGGGGTTGGGGCTCTGCCCCAAGGGGTACCAGTGGGGCCTTGTGTTGCCGTCAGTGTTCTGCACAGAGCCAGGAGCAGTCCCTGCTCTATGTCTAAGGCAGCTTTGTCCGTTTTTGTGTGAATAGCTTTCTGTTACCAAAGGTACTCTTACCCAAAATGCAAGAATGATGCAATCTTGAATTTCAGCCTTCACACGCTCTATCTGGCTGGCAGGACTCAATCTAATGTCCAGAAAAGTACTTGCAGAAAAGACAGTTTCCTCATTATCACCAAGGGCTGATTTATCCCCTTTTGGAGGACAGCAGGGCTCTGATGTTCCTATGAACCACCGGCACGTGAGATGAGGCTCATACCCGGGGTACAAACTGCGTGCCTGCAGCTGTGTGAGCTCAGGGGCTCGGGCAGCGGGGGAGTACAAGGCGAGGCCTCACGGCCGGAGCCTCCCGTACCGGGCGGGAGCGCCCCGGGGCCGCGCTGAGGGAGCGCCCGCTGCGGGAGGCGCTGCGCATGCGCAGAGCGGCGGGCACGGCCCGCGCCCCGCCATTCCCGCGGCCGCCGCGCGAGGGCGGCAGAGCCCAAGGAAGGGCGGGACCCTCGCGCGCGGCCCCGCCCGGTCCCGACCCCGAGCCTGGTCCCGGTCCCGGTGCCGCCCCGTGGTAGCAGCGCTGCCGGCCGCCCTCGGCACGGCTGATGGCACGGTAAGGGCTGCGCCTCCCGCTCCAGGTGTCCAGGGCACCCCCCCTCCCCACCCTGCTGAAACGGAGCCTCGCGTTTCAGAGGGAAGGAGGAAACGCCTCTGGCCCTTTAAAAATGTCTTTTTAACAAAGAAACCCTCTTAGTTGCACGCTTGCAGTGAACACCCAACACCTGCGGTCTCTTCCTAAGGAGCCCAGTCTGTGCAGGCCCAGATTTCCCATGAACTCCCCCATGGCACTGCAGCCCAAGAGTCTCGCTGTTCTCAGAAGCCATTCCCCCTCTGCAGCCATCAGCTGCCTTGCCTGACAGCAGGAACCGTCTCTGTAACACCATTTCTCTTCAATAATAAGGCCTTTGAATTGATTCTTTCCCCTATAACTCCCACCTTGGGAACAGCACATTCCTTCCTTCAAGTCTCCATAACCAATGTTCAGTCAGTGCCATTCATTTCGTGAATTCAGTTCCTGCTCCCCTCCCCTCTCCACCCCAAAGGCATCCCACGAGTGTGACAGAGCTGTGATGTCAAGATGTAGCTCAGGAAAATGGTGCCGTGACAATTTGTAGGACAAAGGCAAGTGTATGTTCAGCAGGCAGTGGGACTACAGGGCACAGCAGTGCTCCCAAGGAGGAACACAGGAAGGAGTTGTTTTGGAGTGGCTGCCCCAAGGTGCTGGTGATGGAAGTACAACCCAACTTTTGTTTATGGGAGAGCACACCCTGCTATAGCCACATCTCAGACAACTGCAGCTAAACATAAACCTGCAGAATAAAACTCTGCAGATTTTAACACTCAGGCTCTGACTCCACAGTCAAAAGAGAGGAGAAGTTGAAATTTATTCTCACAAATGACTAACAAAGGACCAGAGGCACTCAGGCTGCACAAGGACACACATGGTCTTCAGTAAAAGTTTCATTTCTGGTATAAAACAGTAATGCCATTTTTAAACAAAACCTACAGGTAAAGAGAAAGTATCACATCTTAACAAAAAGGATTTATTGTGACTAAACAAAATGTACAATGTTTCCCAAATGACAGAGTGTTTTCAAGACTCTCTGAAGTCTGCAGGTCCATTCGGTAACTTGATCACTTCATAGCCTGCAGTTTGATCAAGCTACTTTTTGCCAGACTTCTTTATTCCACCACTGGCTGCCAAAAGAAACAACACAGCTGGTTAGGTGACTGTGACAGAGCTTAGCTCCAAATGCAGTTCCTCATGAAGCTGAACCCCCCATCAGACAGCCTGCACAGCCCTGGTTCCCACTGGTGAATTGTTTTTTATAATGAAGAAATTCATCCTCTCAGAAGACAAGCACTGGATCTTTTTAAACTTGGAGGACTGTGGAAAAAGCCTACATGTAACACATCTGAAAAGAAAAGACTGGCGTGCTAAAAAAAAGGAGCAATGTCCCTGCACATACCAGGGTGCCAGACACAGTGATCTGCCTGCTGAACCAGAACCTGCATCATCTGGGGATGAAAATGCATAGAAACAAAATAGCCTCTGTTTGTTTCATATCATCTGTACCTGCCATCAACTTATTTATCTATGTCAAATAACCCAGAGGCACCTGCCTTTTTATGTCTGTCAAGCAAAAACATTAAATTTTTGAAGCCAGCAAGGCCCCCATCTCTCCTGCCAGGATGGCACCTCGCTTACCCAGGGGCCCTTTTCCAGCAGCTTTTGCTTTCATCTCCTCAAGTTTCTTCTGCTCCTCCTTCTGTTTTTGTTTGAATGCCAGATCCGTCTGAAGGAAAGAACAGCAGCGTTTTTTAACATCTCTTCCACAGAAATATTCAAAAACAACTGAGAAGCAATGAAAAACAAATGTACTATTCCAGCAGCAACAAACACCTGACTGGACCGAGGCAGGATGGCAGAATAATGCTAAATATGCAGAATATTGCAAAACTATCACAAAGACCACAAACTGAACTCTGTATGTTTCGTCTTTCTGGAATTATTTCTCATTCTGAGATTATGATTCCTCTGGCTGATAGATGTTTGCACTAACACCATTCATGAACATACCCTCAGTGACACATGACACCCAGCAAACAGGTACTAACAAAAACATTTGGGCTATAAAGAATGTAAATAAAGCAAGGCTAAAGTAAAAGCATAATTTTTTTTAAATCCTCCCACATATATGTCATTTTTGCTGGGTTTAATAAATTTGTATTAATTCCAAGCCATCTAATGAGACTGCTGGCAAATTGTGCAGGCAAGGCAGCAATTGAGCCTCCTTGCTGGATGGGCCTCCAAATCCAGGAGAAGTCAGACATACTCTGTCCCTTAGATACACATTCTTCACAGACACCAAGGCTGGAAAGGACTCAGATTTTTAACTTGACACTCAGGACTTTGGGGAAACTGAAATGAGGACCTTGACAACTGAGATTCCACAGATTCTTCACCAATCCAGTCTGTGGCTCATTTTTACAACTGCAAAGCTTTCCTCTTCTTTGATTAAAGCCTCCCTTGCTGCAATGTAACCGTATTACTTCCCCTACCTACCCCTCACAGAACAGAATATTCTGTTTCTCTCTCCAGGTTTTCCTGTCTCCAGCTGGCTAATGTGTCTTTCCTAGTAAATCAATCCCTCACATTTATCCACTTCTGTGGGGTTTTTCTTGCAATGTGTTGTTCCCAAGTGCTCACAGTATTGCAGAGCTGAGACAAAAATAAATATTACATCATTTGACACACAAATGTTTCTAACTTGCATCCTTGTAAACACTCTATTAGTTCTAGCATTTCTTTAACAATAAAGCTTATTTAGAAAGCTATGATTTTTTTTCTTTTTCAAAGAGGTATTGTATTTGCTTTTTTCCAAACAGTTGCACCTCATCCATCATGCACTATTCACAGAAATAGAAGCTGACATTCATCCTTAAATGTAAGAGTTCAGAGTATCTCTAACACGCAATTCACTAGTACATAATTTAATATATTCACTAGTACTTAATTCATCCAAGCTACACAATAATCCCAGGGGCCGAAGTGATTGACCGAGCTCAGCTCTCAGTCTCACGCTTCGGCATCTGCTGCATCCACCAGCATGGTGGAACACGGGCAGGATGTCATCATGGCATCAGAGAAACACAGAATGGCTTGGGTTGGAAGGGACCTTAAAGATCATCTCGTTCCAAAGCCCCGTCATGGGCAGAGACACCTTCCACAAGCCCAAGTCACTCCAAGTTTCGTCCAAGCGAACACTTGCAGGGATGGAGCAGCCGCAGCTTCTCTGGGCTGTGCCAGGGACTCATCACCCTCACAGGTAAGAATATCTTCCTAATATCTAATCCAAACCGCTTCTCTTGCACTTTGAGCCCGTTCCCGCTCGTCCTGTCACTGCCTGCTCCTGTAAATGTCAGCAGGAACCCGCGGGCAGCCAGGCCCGCCGGCTCCCTCACGGCCGGGCTCTCCCGCCGCCGCCGCCGGGGCTCTCCCGCCGCCCTACCTCATCCAGGTCCTTCGTCTGCTTCTTCGGCTGCTTCAGCGGCTTCTTCTTGCCGCCTGCAAAGACAGAGGGGACAGTGAGGGCCGGGCGGGGCCGGGCGGGCGGCACCGGCGGCCCCGGGCCCGGCCTTACCCTCCCGGCCCGACATGGCTCCGCTTGCTCCGCCCGCTCCCGCCGCTTCCGCCGCCGCTTCCGCCGCCGCCGCTTCCGCCGCCGGGCCGGGGCAGGTACGGGGCGCGGCGGGGCCGGGCCGGGGCCGGGGCCGGCCGGGAGGGGAGCGGCGGCTCGGCCGGGTCGGTGGAAGGGCCCCCGGGCAGGGACGGGGTCGGTGGTGCGGAGGAAGCCGGCGGCGGGATGCGGGGGCGCCTCGGCAGCGCCGGGCTGCGCTCGGCCCGGCGCGGGAGCGCTGCGGGAGGCGGGAGCGCAGTCCCGCTGGCCACCGGCTCTCTGCGCCGCAGCTTTCGGGAGTGTGTTTGTCAGAGCCGCAGGCAGAGGAAATGCTTCTTGCGAGGGAGGCCAGAGAGGAACCAGGCACGTAATGTCGGGTTAAGCTGTCACAACTTTCTTGTGTCCTCTAAGCTCAGGCTGAGATCACGTTCATCAGAGTCTGTGACTGCATGCATAGAAATTCTTCTTCAAATCTCAACTTTCTCCCTCTTCTTTTTCTATTCTCCAGTACTCTGAATATTAGGTTAAACTCTTCAGGAAGTAATGCAATTAAGAGAGGGGAATTTTGCACTCTGGAACAGACAAAATTGAATTGATGTTTGTTGTGGCCTGCAATGCAGAGTAGGTGTTCAACACTGCTGTTGACAGGAGATGTGTGAGTGATGCTGGCAGGAGTGAGAATTTCTTTCATTTCCATGTTCTTGTGGGTTTGATCTTACATGTTATGTATGTAAAACAACTGGTAAGATTTTCATAATGCCACTTGGTGTTATTATTAGTTGTTAGAACTAGTCAGCAAGGGAATGAACCTGTGGTGGTCAGAATTTTTCCAGCTGTTTCAGTACTTTTTTGTGGAGATGCCTGTATTAACCACCTAAAATTAACAAGGAAATCTGTTTTAAATAAATTTTTAAACTATGCAGCAGCTATCAAGTGTTCTCAGTAATTTATGTTTTCATATTGTATTAGTCAAAATCTAATACAGTCATACTCAAATTTCATATAAAACCCGACTGAAAAGTTCTCCAGTTTCTAGTTTTTAGAATAACGTGCCTCAGTTGAATTCTAAGATCATATTTAAAATCAGTATACAATAAACCATAACTAGCAGCCTGCTTTTGCAGAGTAAGCAAGAATTTTAAGCTCATTTTAAAATGCAGTCCTGTGTGTTAGAATGCTGTGCATTCATTCCTTGAGATTTTTCTATCCTTGTGGCTGGTCCTGGTTTATTATTTTGTAGGCAGTCTCATGGGAATGCTTGTATTCGGTTCAGCACTTCTGCGTTTTCCCTCTGTCCTTTGTGTTTTTGTCTTTGCATCCTTCAGCACTTCCTATATCTGTGCAGTGTAAGGTAAAGAGAATGATCAAGCCACACTTCTTTTTTTATCAAGATTTTGTCCCCTCTCTGCCTTTTTTCCTTTTCTGTTCTTTTGCAGAATTGTGAGTAACTACCTGAAGCACAAACCACGTCGTGCAGTCACTGCTCTGCTGAAGCACTAAATTTCTGAATTTCTCTGAAGTTACTCCTGCTGTTTCTGGATCTGCACATGATCGCTGCTCACGCCGTGGGTGAATTAGTTGTCAAGAAGCATGAAGCATGGTGGGAGTACTTCCTAACAGAAAATCAGGAATCTGTGGCACAATTGCACTTTGTTGAAAATTTTGGAAAGTTCTCTAGGTAAGCAGTGGTGTAAAAGTAGCAATGGTTTAGTCATTCTTGAATTGATTTATTTTGGCACACGTGTAGTTGAAGAGCTACAAATCAGCCATGCTTCAATAACTTCTCTTCTTCTCCTTATAGCACTTTTATTTAGTAATTAAATTGAAGACATGGGGCCTATGAAATACAAATCAAGTGTATCCTCAGTGTCCTGTGGTCTGCAGTATCACCATTCATTGATGAAGTGGAATCCCAAAGTGAATTTACACGTGGTGAGGACTTACTGCCCATCGGCGCCCAAGAGGCCGGAAGCCAAGTCTGCAGTGGAAATGGCCATGGGTCTCCTTCATCGCATCACAGAGTCTGGGACTGCTATGGGGAAAAACTCCCTCCAAAAAGTGTCTGCAACGTGCAGGAATTGGTGGGACAGATACGAAGAATTTGTTGGAATCAATGAAGTTCGAGAGGCTCAGGGAAAAGTGACAGAGGTAAAGATGGAGATAATGTGGAATTTTTTAAATTATGAATAGAGCTATATGAAGCATAAACACTGTCTGAGGCAGAAAAGGTTATCCAAAGAGAATTCTGTCTTTTTTTTTGCTTTGTGTGTCTGTGCAGGTACTGTGAATGTGTTCTAGGCTATGCATGTAGTAAATAGAACTTATCCTCTGAATTGAAATGGAGTGTGTTTTATTATGTTGGTGGTTTTTTCCTCCCCCCCCCCCAAAAAAAATTATATATAATTAGCAATTTAGGTCTGTATGGTAGTAAGTCTCTAAAATAAATGCTCTTTCTTCTCAGGCAGAAAATGTCTTTATGATAGCACGAGGGATAGTTCGAGAGGCTCGTGAAAATGTAGAAGCCCAACAGATTAAACTGAAGGAAATTCGGGATCGCTTAGACAGGGTCTCTCGGGATGACACCCAGTATTTAGAACTGGCTACTCTGGAACACAGGTTGCTGCAGGTAATTTGTTGGTACTTAAACACTGGTGAATGTGTTGAAAATTTGTGTGCTTTGTTTCCTCCACTAGTGATTGATTGTTTTTGTAGATGCAATTCAGTCCTGAAGTGATCACAGTTAATTTCTTAGGGTAGTTGTTTTACTTAGTTGTTATCAATGGTCTGATCCCCTGTGCAAATTTTATATGTTAATGCCAAAGTAGAGTAGTAAATTTGGAGAATCAAATGGAAGATAATGAGACAATTAATTGTTGTAGTGGTGACCTGTACATGAGTGGTTAAGAAAAAGCTGCCGTTCGATGAATTAACTCTCCATGCAATGAGAGAAACTCTTTTCTGGCTAACCCATGGAAGTTCTCTCAGCTGCTTTCTGCTGGTGTCTGGAGAAGTTAGCAGGGCTGAAACAGTGAACATTATGGGGAGTGAAAGACCTTGCTCACTCATACCCATTTGCTATCATCACGTGGCAGATTCTCATGTACAAGATCTTCAGCTGTGATTCCTGATAACCTTTTCCATTTCTCAGACTTAGAATGATGCTTCATTGACTTAAGTAGGATTAATAAAGAAAATCCCACAGGCAAGGGAAAATTTCTGAAACTACTAATAGATATTCCCAATTTCCATTCCTTCAGCTGCACTGGAGTTTGGGGATTGGTTTGGTTTTTTTTCCTTTAGTATAGACTTCATAGCTTCATATTATACCTTCTCTTTTCATCACTCTGTTTCTTGCAGGAAGAGAAGAGGTACCGAGCTGCATATTTAAATGCAGAAGAATCTGAGAGAGAAAAGTTCTCTCTCTTCTCTGCAGCTGTCAGGGAAAGCCACGAGAAGGAACGCACAAGAGCTGAAAAAACAAAGAACTGGTCTATTATTGGCTCTGTGCTGGGAGCTGTTATAGGTGTTCTTGGTTCCACCTATGTCAATCGTGTAAGGCTGCAAGAATTGAAGGTCTTGGTGCTTGAAGCACAGAAGGGCCCAGTAAATTTACAAGAAGCCATCAAAGAACAGGCCTCCAACCATTACTTGCAGCAGAAAGATCTCAGTGATGTCATAGAAGACCTAAAAAAGGTGCTGCAAACAACAGCATCGAAGGGAGGGAAAGAAGGGGCTTTGTTAACTAGAGAAACCAGGAATGACTCCATAAAAATAGATTCTCTTTTAATGCCTTTAAATGAGCAGCTAAACTACATTAAACAAGTCAGTTCATGTCTGGGGAGTTTACAGCAGCAGTTTAACAGTCTGCAGGAAAGCATCACACGGGTGCTGTCGGAGCTGCAGGGTGTCAGAGTGGCCATCCAGTCCCGACCTACAGAAAGAGTGATGCCAAGGCCTGCAGGGGAGGGCAAGGGCCAGGCTGCTGCTGTGAGAGATGTGATTCTGGAGCTGTGTGATACCGAGCGGAGACTGGAAACGCAAATCAAGAGAAGTTCTATTTACAGCACTGCACTGACATGTGCTATGTTTGCCATTACTCTGCCTGTACTCTATATCATCCTGAAAGGGAACTGATCCCTAATTAATTGCCACAGCTTAGTAGATTAATAAAGGAAAACTTGCACTCTGAGTACCTGGAGTACAAGTCCAAATAAAGCTGCTGTAGTGTTTCTCATTATGCCTTCTCCTGTATATTTGAAATACTTGAAAAGCCTTAGTCCATTACTGCTGCAGCCTCCATGTCAAGTCTCTGTCACACTGTGCTTTTTAACAAGCAAAGGAAATGCCACAGCTTGATCTGTTCATTTCATTCACTGTGTCACTCTTCCTGTCTAGTCTTGTGTGTCAAAACAGCACCGAAAATGCCCCTTTCAGCCCCAAATTGCATCTGTGAGGCCCAGAATGGCCCCTTCAGACCCTGAGCTGTACCCCTGCTTGCTCCCAGTGCCCCACATCATCCCACAGTGGTTCCAGTTGTTCCCATCAGGCTCTAACTCACCCCAATGGGCCGCAGTTTGCATCCCCGGTGGCCCCAGTAGCCCAGGACAAGCCCTGCAGTGTAATCAGGTACAAACCCTGGGTACCTGACCCACAGATCCCTGTGCCCAGCCCCAAGCCACCCTGCAGCCCCCAGCCACCTCCCAGACCCCTTGAGGTTCTGGGGTTCAGACACATTTATTGCTGGGACAGACAGGGTGTGGGGCCTGGCCCATGAACTGGTGCCCCTCCATGCCCACTGTGCCCCTCTCCCCCAGGTATGGGCACAAGGAGGAGTCTTCCTCCATTGCACAGTGCCAGAACTGAGCTGAGGTGAGCCCCCCAAGTCCTGCATCCCCTCAGAGCCATCACTGTTCCCCTGTCACCTCCTTCCCCTCCAGGACACCATGAACTCTACTACATCTTCACCACCCCACACTGTGGCCACTGCTGGACCAAGTGACAGAACCTCAAGATGGACATGATACAACTGATTAAATATACAGTGATTTTCATTCTGGAGCTGCATTTGTGATTTCCTGTTCCAATTACTCCTTTGCTCTGTCGATTTAAATGTCTCATGTATAATTCTCTGTATTTTGCTCTTTATTTCTTCATAGTTTTGCCATTTGTTCATTCAAAATCATTAGGAGTTATCTTAACAAACAGCTGGATGATGAATTTAAAATACATTGAAGCTACACAAGGTAACCTTTTCTGAGGATGGTTTGTCATGAAGTATCCAAAACATTTCTAAAGCTTCAGCTCTTTGTTATTGATATCTCCATGTCCCTTCAGGCAGGGAAAGAGGGAAAGGGTTCAAATCCAGAGCTGTATTAAGTATGATGGTGTTTATTCTGACAATATAAGCCAATTATGCTTTCTCTGCAGCCTCCTTAACCCGTCATTCCCAAGGTATTTTGTGGTTTTAGCAATCATCTATGGAGCAATCACTTTCTTATCTTGCTAGTATCTCATTGGGACTTTCTCCAGGTTTGTTGTTTTGGGGTTTTTTCCTAACTTGTCCTACCTGGCAATTGAAATGTTACTCTACAGCAGGTGCTTTTAAGCCAGTACATTAGCAGCAATAGACACAAACTACAAAATAATATTTGGAAAGAAGTGAAAGGTCCAGCTGCCTGTTTTTCCTGGAAGGATGAAAATTGGCTGGTTGAGGCTAAACACTTGCCTGAGCAGTTAAACATCAGTATCTGTGTGTGGCCTCACACAAGGTTTCTGCTATGGCTCAGATAAGAGATGGTTTTCTCCCTGTGATGGCAGCAGATAGGCAAATCCAGTGTGGGACTTCTGCTTCCCAGGCACTTCTGTGGGACCTCTGCAGACAAAGGAGCAGCGTGTCACTCCATGCTGTGATGCTTTGTGTGAGCAACTCCCCTGTCTGGTGCACACTGCTCTGGTGGGACTTCCTCCTGCTCTAAGAGACTCTGAAGTTTTGATTGCAAGCTCCTGAGACTGCAAGATCTTTGGGACAGGATCTTGTGGCACCACCTTCGTTTGGTATCACTGGGTGCTAATGACAGAATAAAGAAACAGTGTTAGGAATTACCTTTGATGATTCACTACCTGTAAGAGAAATGAAAGTGCAAAAGGTGGTTTTGGAAAGGGCCACTGCTGATTTATACATTGATTATTTAGAGTGTGAAGTGAGTAACAAATATTTGTCAGGGAAGCAGTTTGATCTGCTGGCTTCAGAACTGGGATAAAAATTCCCTTACACTTATCTGTATCAAGAAGTGTGCATACAGATCAATAGATTTTTTCAAATCTAAAATATTTCATTTTGTTATCTCACAAATATTTTTACAGGTTATATTTCTTGTAGGAGCTTGATGAAAATCAGACAACTGTGTAGTTAAAGGGGAAGGATTAGTGCAATGGTTCTATTTGTAATTTGCCACACTAGTCACTGAAAATTTTGTTCTGCCTTGGGGTTTGGGGTATTTTTTCAGTTTAACTACATTAACTTGGCTCCCCTTGCTATAACTGGCTGAATTTTTTATTTGACATCACTGAACATGTGGATTGTATATATCAGCATGGTTTTTAAATGCTGAAGGTTAGGCAGCTAAACTTAAAAGCTAGGGAGCATTCACTGAATTGTACTCAGTGACATCAAAAATGAGCAGAGGTGTGAGACCAAACTTCTGTACAATAAATGAGAATACAAAACTAAGGGCTGTTTATTGCTCTAAAGAAATCTGCTTTTTACCCATTTAAAGAGAGTATTATGAGAGTTTGTAGCTTTAATTCTATGTATAGTTACAGGAAGAAAAAGTCAGTCAATGACTGTATGAACAGTCAATGAACAGTGGCAAACAAATCTGTAATAAATGATTGTTTGAAATAACACCTGAAATTTGAGAAGAGCTGCAAGGTGTATGTATCAAGATGAAAATAACTGGTCATTTGTAGGAAGTTGCGAAGACTCAGGAGCAGATCCTGTGTGCAGCTGGCAGAGCTCTGTGTTACAATAATTACCATGGCTCACTTAGTTCTGCTCTTCCTCACTAAATCCTCCTATGTGAAGTGACAGCAGAATAATTTCAATTAGGGAAAAACCCTTGTAATTAACTGTGACTATATAATAATTAGGAGAGAAGATTTATGTATTCCCTCAATCCTGGATTAATCATCACTTCATTGTGGCAATGATCTAAATGTGTAGCTTGGCACTGCGCTGTATGTGCACCCCAAAGCCAGAAGGTGTGGCTGCAGCAGCGGCAGCTCTGCCTGGGCTGGCTGAAGGCAATATCCAGGAGGATGCTAAAACATGGACTGTGTGTATAATCTGTTTTGTGCTTTATGCTTAAACCTTTGTCATGGTAACACAGGCAGCAAATACATGAGTTTGAACAAAACCAGCACAGCCGCACAGGGGGTGTTTACCTGGGCACTCACCTCAGTTCAGGTACATTTGCAGCAGTGATTTATACAAGCACATGGCATCTCAGTGCATGTTTCCTGATGATTCAGCCATGACTAAGTGAATACTTTTTGCCTGTGCTCTTCAAATCTATTCTAGTAAAACCAAAAAAAAAAAAAAAAAAGAAAAGAAAACACACACACACAAAAAATCCCCCCCAAAAAAAACCCCAACCAAGAAAACCACACACATCAACCTGCATCCTGTTGTTCTGTTGTTCTGTTGCATACCTTTGGGTTATTAAAAAGGTTTATAATAGATAGCGGAGTTTTCATTTTGGAATGAGGTCTCTCAGCAGATCCTTTCTTCAACAACTAATTTCTGCTTGCTAAGGCCTTTTGAGACTTGAATTCTTACTCTGTGAGCAAAGACCTCTCTAGGCAGGACGGTTCAGCCCTGGGCCCCAGTGCTCATCCGAGGGGGATGGTGGCTGCAAATTCCTACCCAGGACGGAGCTGGGTGCTGTGTGCAGCTCAGAGGAAGGCAGTGCTCATTCAGATTAGTTCCTCTGTCTGGCAGGACACAGAAGCTGAATTAGGAGAACCTGGTAAGAGCAACAGGAAGCCCTTTGATAGATATTAACTATAGAAAAATGGGTGGCAGTGGCCTGAGCTTGGCCCTTGCTAAGCTATTTTGGGTTCTTACTGCTCCTTGAGAAACCACCAGTAACTCAAAAGCAAACAGCTTGTGGCTATGGAAATAACTGTGAATGAGGTCACTGCAGACTTCTAACAGTAGGTGCATTCTGAAGAGTAAAGTTGCCCTTCCTTCAGTTCATGAAAGAACCAGAAAATGTTGCTCAAGAAGACAGGACAAAAGCAGTTAGATGTAGTGTAACAATCAGGATATACATATATATATTTATTTATTTATTACTACTTGGGTTTTGAATATTCCAATATTTTAGGACGTGGTCGGAAGTTGCAGGTGCTCCTGTTGATTTCTTTGTATGTGTTTGTTTGGAAAAGACAGTTCCTTTCACAACATGCCTTCTAAAAACAAATACTTCCCTCTTTGTGGAGCACAGGAGTGGTAGAGATGTCCTGTTTACCTCAGAAAAAAGTTTGAGATTTGCTGTAGGAATGAGGTTTGTGAGCTAGGAAAAGGCAGACAATGCTGGATTTGTCCATATTATATTTAGAACTGTGTTTTATTGCCAGATTTTTGCTAGGAAGTTACATTCATGACCTCACTCCTAAAGCAAAGAGAAGTGAGATTTTTGGTGCTTGGCAGCTGGGTGATCTGAGAAGGTCTGTGCTCAAACACAGCAGCAGAGCTCCAAGATAAAGGGATTGCCACGAGCATCCCAAGCTTGTTCTGCTGTGTTCTGCAGGGAGAAAGGCAAACCTATGCAAATAGGTGTGTGCTCAGAGTCTCTTGCTCTACCCCTGCAGGTTCTGGGGTGTTGGCTACTTTTTACTCAAAATCCTTAAACATCAACAGATTGCTGCCAGCAGATCTGTAGGTGCCCAAATGGCCATAACAAATACCTTAATGCTGTTTCTGAATGTTCTGACAACTGAAAGCTTGAAAGGAATGGAGTCAGATATGAAGTAGGGCAGATGTAGTTAACCTTCAGCTGGTCCCTGAATTACTGCTCTAAATACACTTTATTCCCAGAAGCTATAGACAGTATTCACATATCCCTTGTGACTTCCTTAACTTTTCTCATCTCCTACTTGGAGGGGAGGAAGAGCAAGAAGGAAATCAAAAGGAGCATAAGCAGCTGCTTGCCTGTGATTATCATAATAGTTACGTAAGAAACTTAGCCAACCTGCTTAGAACCAGACATTAACAAGAGTTTTTACAGAAAATGATCCTTTAGGGATTTAAATATACCAAAAACAACACAAGAAAACAAACCTTCTGAACAAATGGAAATCAAAATTGTTTTTATTTCTTCTTCAAAATGTTTGTTCTTTTGTGACACCATTTTCAGCTGTATAATGTTTGAGAATTAGCTTTTTCTCTAGGGTTTGATTGGTTTGTTTGGGTTTTTTTAAGAACTGCTAAATTTTTGTGCAGACTGATAAAAACTCTTCCCAGGAGGGGGAATGGTTAATCCCACAGTGGTTTTACACCACCCTTGTCTCTCAGAAGGGCTGTAAGAGGGGCAGGAGGGGGACACTGTGACATCCCTAAAGGGCACAGGAGCTCTTCTTGCCCTGCTCCCAAGGCAGGCCCTGTCTCCAGCTCCCTGCACCAACCCTGCCATGGGACAGAAGCAAAAGCCTCTCCTTTCAAATCTGCTCTCACAGGGGTTTTTGCTGCTTTTTAAGTGAAGCTTGCAGATGTTTTTTACCAGACAGAAGGGGCTGCAGGTTGGGACTGGCTCTGGAGGAAAGGCACAAAGGGGATTAGTGTTTTGAGTCAGGATTGGGCTGGAGCAAAGAAAAGTTAGAGATTTTTTTTTTTAATGCTCTTAGTCACCAAAACTGGATTTTGGCAGATGCAATTTGAGTGCAGTTAAAATGTGTCTGATTAGTGAGATGATAATTCTGTGAGCTCTAAGCTAAAGAGGGATTCAGTGAGTGGGGTGTGGTAATAGGATGGCTTTTTCTGTGCTGGGAGAAGAACAAGTAAGGGATCATTTCCTCATGGGAGGGAGCCCTCATGGTTTCTGCACACAGCATAACCAAGGAGCAAAGGTCCAGAGAGGCAGCCAGCAGTTGCCTCTGAAATAATCCTTCCTTTGGGAGACCACAGTCATGCTGCCAGATCCTGGGGACTGTTCAGCATCTCTAAACTTTCAGACTTTTTTTTCCTTCATAAAATTTGGGGGCTGGGAGTCAGAGAGACTGATGTATTGTAAGAAAGACAGTAGATGTTTAATGACACTTCTGAACGTGGGATTTGTACCAACTCTGTCCCTCTGAAATGTCAGAAATGAACGTGGGAGGAAAGCCAGATTCAGACTTTCAGAGCAGCTTTATGCCTTCAATGGAGATGTGTAGCTTCGTCTGTAGCCAAAAAGGAGAAGTGATGGGCACCCCAGCATAAGGCAAATTCTGTACTTTGCACAAACCAGGCCAGTGCACTCTTCCTCAGTTTGCTTTTACCTGCAGCTCCTGTAACACTTCTGCACATCCTCAGAGATGTTTTCTTTCCTCCACACAGAGTTTGTGGCCGGGTGCTTAAGGCATAACTCCATCTTTTGTCTGGGGTTGCCAAACATCTGGCAGTCAGCTCAGCAGGCAAATGACCAGTACTTACAGCCAGTCACTGCATGTATAGCGAGTCAGTTGTTAGACTAACTGTATATTCACTGATCAACAACACAGCAGAGCACAGCACATCTGGGGAACACAGAAGTTACAGTGTGAGAGAGAAAAATGGGAGCATTAATTCTGTCCCTCTGTAGAACTGTCACTGACAGAACTTACCCCTAATTCAGAGAGAGGATTTTATGCAGTCAGTTCTCAGTGGCAAGAAATGCCTTTGTCTCTTTCACGGAGCACCAGCCTCTGCTCTGCCCATAACTGGAGCTTCCAGCTTCACAGGAATAAAAATCACAAAACCAGCAGTCAGTTTATATTACACATATCACTTCAGGCGCTTCTGCTTTATGGTGCTTTTGTCTCCGCCGACTTCCAGCTAGAGTGGTATGTCCTTCGCTGTTTTGCAACTAGAGATAACTCTGCTTTTGTCACATTCTTCAATCTCGCTCGTGTGCTGGTTCCCACATGCGCTGCAAGCTGGAGCTGGGCTGTGCCTAAGCCTGCCTGTGCTGTGTGTGCAGGGGGGACACGCTGGGTTTGCTGGCGGGTTCGCAGTCAGGTTCTGTTCCCGGTGCCCCGTGCCCTCCCCACTCACCCGCACCTCTCACCGGTGGGAGAGCCGAGCACAAAGGCTTGTCGAGCCTGACCGCAAAGTTACCTTGCTAAAATGCAGAGAGGAGATAAACGCTGCGATTTCTCCCAAAATACGCAGCTTTATGCACAGCTCTCATCAGCGGCGCCGCGGACCCCTCTGGGGCAGCTCTGCGCGCTGGGACGGGCCGGCACCGCCGCTCGTTTTGGCGGCAACGTGCAGAACACTCCCGCTGCCCGGGCCTCGCTCGGTGCAGGCGGAGCTCGCCGTGCCCGGCGGCAGGAGCCCTCGGCTGGCCGTGCCCAGCTCAGGAGCCCTCGGCCGCCGCCGGCCCCCGCGATGGGGATCCCGGGCACGGCCCGAAGCGCGGAGGGGCCGCTGGCCACGCCCCCTCCCCGCGCCAGCCAATGGGGTCTCGCCGCCGGCCTCGTGCCGGAGGGGGGCAGCCGGATCCTGCGGGGCGGGGCCGCTCTGGGGGCGGGGCCTCGAGGGGAGCGGACGGCTGCTATTGGAGGAGCGCGGCCGGGGGGCGGAGCGGCCGGCGGGGAGAGGGGCGGGGCGGGCGCTCCGCGGCTCGGTGCGGGCAGCGCTCGGCGGCGGCGGGAGCGGAGCGGGGCGGCCGCTCGGCAGGTGAGGGGCGGCGGGCACCGGGCACCGGGGCCGCGGGGAGGGGATGCGCGGGCTGCTGCCGCCGCCGCGCCCGGCCCGGGGCGGGGAAGCCCTGCCGGGGGTCAGCGGCCGGCGGCAGGTGCCGCCCGGGGGCCGCGCTTTGTCTCCGCGTGGGGGGATGGGCGCGGCCCCTCCGGAGCGGCGGCGCCTCCCGGGCGGGGCGAGGGGCTCCGGTGGGCCGGGAAACCCCCGCTCCGAGCCGCCCCCGCGGCTGGCTCTGCGGGGAGCAGGGCGGGGGTCCCCGCGGCTCCGCGCCCGGAGCAGCAGCAGCAGGAGCGGGCGCGGGGCTGGCGAGCCCCTCCGGCGGCGGTAGCGCATCCGGGAGCGGTGAGACCGGGGGAGCCCCCGGGAGCTGGGCACGGCTCGGTGCGAGGCGGCTCCGCGCCCAGGGTCCGGCTGCCCGGACGGCCGCGCCGGGGGAGCTGCCCGGCCCCGGCCCCGCTCCTCGGAGCGCCCTGACCGGGCAGTTCCCGCTGTGTGCAGATGTCGTTCTCCACCTTGAGCACATTCCGTTTGAAAGAGTTTGCAGCAAGTGTTTGGGCCCCTCCGAGCAGGTGTGTTTTGTGTTCCAGGAGCTGCAATTTGAGATCTTTATTTTCTTAAATCTAAACTTTCTGTGGCTGCTGCTTTATCTCAGGGCAGCAGTCTGGAGCAGGAGTAGTCCTGGGAGAGTATCTGGAGCGCTGCTCTGGTTACAAAGAGGAAGGGGCTTACAACCCTGAGTGTTGTAAAACAGCGGGGTCAGTATTTTACTTAAACAAGTGCTCTATTCTGTGTGAGGCTGAATGGGATCTGCTCAGGAGTGACCTCACTTTTTGAACAGGGATCACAGAAGTGTTCTGCCTTGTGTATGAAATGCAGAAATCGATGACTTTTATTAATGATGTGTCTGTGTGACGTCAGGGGGCTAAGCCAGTGTGGAAGCATTCACCCTGATTCTGGGGAAGGCTGATGCACTGAGATGTTTTGCTACGTGGTTTTGCATTGTAATGGGGAAATTGGTGTTTTCCCCTTGCTACAAATGGTGCATGGAATTTCACAGATTTTAACAGGGTCACTTTGAGAGGCCAGCAATGCCTAGCAAAATCACAGGAGAAGAGAGCAAGCAAGTTAAGGATTGAGAAGAATCTGGCAGGGAAGGTGACTTGTAGGCAGGTTGGTGCTGAGCAGACTGTTTCTATGCACTTCCACACCTGTGCAGCTGAACTGGACTCTGCAAGCCAGGGACTTGCCCTGAACTGAGATTTGGCCAGAAAGCATTTACTATAGCACGGTCATATATGGAATTTTCTCTTTAAATTTCTTCCTAACATGTGAAAAGAGTTAGGTTAGTAATACGATTAACAATATTTAATAAGATTAAAATCACCAGCATAACTCTTGAGAAAGGTGGGTGCAGACTGTCAGCAGTTGACACTTTTAATCTCTGCTTTCTCCCATGTGAGTGCAGTAAACAGTTCAGGCTCCAAGACTCTGCTTGCTTTTCAGAACAGAAAAATTCTGCCCTCGCCTGCTGACAGCTCAGGTATTGCCTTACCTTTCATGTCCACCAACAGCATCATATTCCCAGCGGGGCCACGGGATGTTCCCATATAAGGGCAGAGGGAATAGCTGACAGAGGCTGTAATGAGTGTGCAGAGCTGTTCCCTTCAGTGCCAGTCTTTGTGTGAAGCAGGGCTGTTGCTGGAGTGTTGCTGCTGCTGGCACGCTTGGGCTTTCCTGGCAATGCCAGCAGAGCCTGCAAGGACTAAACCAGCCTGAAAAGTATCTGCTGCTGCCCAAGGTGGCCCCGTGAGCCTGGAGAGAGGCTGCCTGCCAAATTAAGCAGTGCCAGCTGTATGTTGGGTGTGCTCTGAAGGAAAAAGCACCCACCCAGGTTGCCTGAGTGGGGTGTGTGCTATCCAGCACTGTCCAACAGAAGACAAAAATAATGGCACTTTCTGTCCTGCACTGTTGCTGTTTGCTTTCTGGAGTGTTCCTGTAGCCAGCAGAGATGGGTACAGGGAAACATGGTGTCTTTTTCAGTGTAAATTTCAGTGTCAGCTGGAGAGGGAGAGCAACAGACAAGGACAACTTCAGAAAAAGATGAAGCAGCCACTCCCCAGAAATGCTTGAGATTTTTTTCTGGTAAAAACTTTACTGCTGAATTGGGTAGTGTACATTATTTCTCTTCTGTCATCTTCTTCTCTGTCTCAGTCCTTCCTGCTGCCTGTCAAAGCAAACTCACAAGGACATCAGTTTCTTCTCCTCACTGACAGCCTCTCCGTCTGTTCTGTTTTCGTTTGTAGCTGTTGTTTTTTTTCCTCCTGAAACTTCAAATTGTTTGTTGTAGCCAAGTTGTGAGCTGAACCCTCCCAATCTTGCATAAGGGCATCTTGGAGGAAGATGATAGGACTTTGATTCATCCCAGCTTGGAGGCTGTGCAGGGTGGCAGCAGTCAGAGGAGGCATGAGCGTGCCTGCTTCCCTGTAAGAATTAGCCCTCTAGATACAAGCTGGTTTCAGGAAGCAGGGCTTGGACTGGCGCCCTTTCTGCTCACCTGGATCTTCAGAGAAATGTCTTTGTGCTCTGTGTGCTGGGATCTGGTGCGTTCTACTGACTCTCCTTTGCATTCCCTATAATCTGTTAAAGCCCTGGATTTGATTTGCATTTATTTGTGGTTCTTGTGAGTATCTGATTGCAGGATTACTGTATCTGAAAGGATTCATCTTCTGCTGTTCATGAAAACCACAGGAGGGCTGCTTTTGCCTTTATGGGAATGTGCCAGCTGCTCTTTCATTGTGCTGGTATCATTTTCCCTGTCCTGTTACTGGAGGCGTCTTTGATGACCTGATGGTTGTGATGATGTCTTTAGAGAAGATTCATATTGATCATTCTTTGAGCTTTGTCTGGTGTTGTCTCAGTGCTGGAAGACAATCCCTATAAATTCTTGCATGTGTTTTTCAGAAACAAGCGATTGAGGCAGTGGGAGCACGTGCACAGTCTCGTGACTGTGATGATACCGCTGTTCTGGGAGGCAGAGTAGATGCTTAATTTAATTGGGAAACAGCAAACTCATGTGTTGCACTGTGTTTACTCCAGCACAGTGGTGAAAGCCAAAGGACCTTTCCTGGTGGCACACTGAACCTGGGAGGCTCTCTAAAATCAGCATGGAGGGGGTTTTGCTACCTGCATTTTTCTCTGGCACCGTGAAGAATCAGCCTGCGTGCTGTGGTTTGCCACAGTGATAACTGAGATGCTCCCCTGCTTAATAAACTGGCCAGGGTTGGAGTTGCTGGAGCTCAGACTTGCAGAGCTGCAAAGGTGCAAAAACACGAAGGAGGATGTTCCAACCTGTACCAACATGCAGCCCTGACTAATGGGAGAACCAAAGTGCTTTGGTATGAGCTCTGCCTCCTCTCCCCAACTGCTGAAGTAATAAATGCTGAGGGCTTGTTTTCACTGCTAATAATTTTTTTTTAGCCAAGTAGTAACTAAGACATCTGAACTCTTCTGAGGTTCCAGGAAACAATTTAGGTATTCTTTTCATTAACTAGAAGTAAGTGCTGCCTCCCAATGCTTCTGAGGGAAAGAAAAAAAAAAGAAACAAATGGTTTCAGTTTAGGTAAATTTTTTTGTTGTTGGTTTGTTTTGTTTTGGATTTTTTACCTTTTTTGTTTGGTTCTTTAGTTTTGTTTTATTATTGAATCAATTTTTAAATAGTTTCTAATATCCTGAATTTAATTTTAGACCTTCACTTTCAAGTCCTGCCTCCCAATCTCAAGAAAGAAAGAGGGGAAAGGGAAGCAGAAAACAAATTTTTGTCAGTATGATCTCATTTTAGATGTTGATCAAAATGTGAAATGAATCTCCTAATGAAACAGATCCTAATGAAATTTCCAGATGCCAGACTTTAATTGAATGGGAACTTTTGTGATGTGCTTGCAGTATAAAAACTGCAAGTACTGTTAGGATCACTTCTTCTGTGCCTGGTAAACGTGTGAGATTTTGCTTTGCTTTTGGCTCTGCAGTTCAACTGTGGAACAGCCTGGAACTGTTGAGTTTCCCCTGGCTCTGCTCTGCACCAGCACTGCTGCTCTCAAAATTCTTGCAACTTCATGGCTACTCCCTTTTAGAAAATGATAATTCATTTCCCTTCTTGAAGTATCTGAACGCTGTAATTTTATCTTGCTACTTGTATCTATTCCTGGTTTATCTCATGTGGGAAGTCTCTTGTCCCTGTGTCGCAGGCTGTAAGGGGATTGATCTTTGGGGGTGGTGGTTTAGCTAGGCTGGTTCTGTGCTGGGAGCTGGAGTTCAGGAATTGTGTCACCACTTGCTCCAGATACCCACACAGAATCTGTGGTGAGCCTTTGGGATCCACAGCTGTAAGGTATTGACTGAATGGTTTGCTGCTGCTTTGTATCTGCAGGTGCAGACAATTTCAAGTCATCACCATTCTCCCTCTCTTTGCACTTTTCCTTAATTCTGAAATTAAAGGCAGTGCTTCTGGGTTTCAGTGAAAAAAAACGTGTGTGTCAGCTTATCTGAGCATAATGTGGCATTGAGGCTCAGTGATGGGGCTCATCCTGCTGCTGAAGTTACTCCAGGGAGAATGCAGGCCTTGTGTCCCACCCTTCCCTGCAGGGTGGCTGTGCCTGGAAGCGT